TGTAATACGTGTGTGTGTGTGTGTGTTTTCGTTGCATGCTTTACAGGTTAGGAAGTTTTTATTACGTGTGCTGAGGAATAAAGCAGAAAACAGGTTTCTAATGGCTGCCAGCATTCTCCACACAACTCAAGTGAGGCGTGTGTGAGAGAGAGAGAGAGAGAGAGAGAGTGACTGAATGAAGGAGGGGTAGACACCAAGAAACAGACAGAGAGAAATTCCTGTTCTCGTCGATTTTTCTTTTTTTTTATTGTTATGGTGCGAGGGGAAATTAATTTGAATTGAAAATGAATTGTGAAAGAGGAAGTTTTGTGTCAGACAGACACAGACAGACAGACAGAGCGAGAGAGAAGAGGACAGTTTCTTTCTTTGTCTTCATTGAGAATCTGATGTTGGGTTGAGCAATCTGTTTTCCTGCAATTCTGTCAGCCACTGCACAGGGCGTGTGTTTCTGTCATAACCTGCAACACACCCAAACACACACAGAGCATAAAAGGATTCCCGCCGATTGCACTAGAATCATCACAATACTATTTTCTGAATTTCCCAATCACTGCACTCCCCACAAACAGCCACTGTGGTTTCTGTTTCATTCGGAGCTGTTTGTCTGGTTCTTGACTGTCTTTGAACTCGTTTGTCACCCGTTTGCATTACAGCTTTCAGACATCTGATGACAGGAATCTAGACTGCCTCACTGTTGAGTGTAGTTCTTCAGCATTAGATCTGTCTGTCTATAATGAATGAAAAAACCTATTCGGGTATCAGATTTGACACTTTACGTCTGACTTGACGAGAACAACAGAGGCTTTTTTTTTTAGCTTTCTGTAAGTAAGGTGCCGTATTGTAAGAAGGATTTAAAGTTGGGCTGTGCAGAACCTTGTTTGAAGTGTTGTCTGACTGGGACTGTAAGGTTCACAGAGAGGTCCATAGCAGGTCAAGGTAATAAGTGCTTTTCAGGGAGACTATTCTCTCCAGAAAAATCCCAGCATGGGTATTTGTTTGTTATGCTCAGTGGTGGA